TTTAATCTCTTTAATAAGCTCGGCCTTTCCCCTCTTACTGTAGGTGCTGAGTTAAGTGAATGTCAGACACCTTTGTATTAATGAAGTGTAGCTCAACTGGCCAATAGTTTGTATGCTACCCAATGCAGTGATGATCGCTGCAAATGTGCCGTATTACTTAGTTTTTGAATGCAACTAGTCAGTACTTCTTAAATTGCATTTGTACTTGTGTGTGTCTTATACGTTTCATTAGTGCGGGTTCACTGATCTGCAGACCTGCCTTCGCACACTGAGTTGCCTGGACTGCAGTGGGCAGGAATGATGCGTCTCTGCCGGTCGGGGTATTACCGTGAATCCGCCATCTGCGGATCAGCACAGAAGACTCATCAATAACTAATTAGGCCACCTCGCTTCAGGGGGGCTGCCCCAGGGACAGATGGAGGGGCCCTGTGCCTTCGGCACCTGTTCAACAGACGGATCTTAGTGCTGCCCCGGCCTTCCTGCGACCCCTGCAACCTTGCTGACCCTGTATCTCGCCGCCCAGTGCAACCTGTCATTCCCCATGTGTCAAAATGCAATATCAAATGGGCAGTTGCTTGTTCTAAGCTGCCAAGGAGGGAACTTGGGCTGGCAATAGTTTTTGGTCAATATTTTGTTTGCTCTTGAATAGAGAGTTACTCATAGGTGTTTCCTTTCAACAACACAGAAAAAAATTATAAAAGGAAAGTCAATCTTGTGACACCATGGCTTTTTGTTTGAATGTGTCATATTTAGGGCTTGTCTTCTAGAAATGCAGAGAGGAAAATACCATGACTAAGTGTTTCAGTAGCTCATTCCTGTCTGGTACTTTGTGTGTCGCGCAGTACCTGTTGCCTTCAAATATGTTTGGAGCCTTTTTAATTTGATCACCTGTTTCTAGAGTGATGGTGTTTTTTGCATTAAGGGCAGATCAAGACAAGAGCATCATTGACGCTTAAATCAGGCGCATTACCCAAAATTTGAGACATTACAAAACTACTGATAGGCAGTTGGTTAAGTGCCCCAGTGTGTGGAGTTTGCACCGCTGCACACAGTAAGCGCCAGCTGTGTCATTGTAAAGTCTTACATTTAACATTTACTGAAGATGATTGCCGCCACGTTACTTGAACAGTGGAGTTTTGGCCAAATACAATATATCTTTATGTTGGTGTTGCAAAAATATTTTATTTTTTTAGAATTTACTTTATTTTTATTGTTTAGTTGTCGTCGTCATTGTTCTTGCTATTTCTAGGCTTAAATGTTAGTCTTTAATGTATGACCTCCATGTATAAATAGTTATTTTCTTCCATCCATTTTGAATGCATGTTCCTCGGTGATGATTTCGAGCCCCTCCCCCTACACTGGGGCCAGTCAGGCTCCAGGCCGCTGCAATTCGGGGCACCGCTGCTCAGTCCCGCGCTGACGGCGTTTCAGTGGCCCTTACAGGCCGCATGCCTTCCGAGGGCGAAGCTGCCGTGTCGCCTGTCATCACGCTTGTTAACTGCACAGGCTCTGCCACAGCAGGGTACCGCACTGTAATTGTTCTGCTTTTTGTTCCTTCGTTGAGGTTATTCATTCAGAAAATAAAAGAAGCTTGACAGGTATTTCAAGTGGAATTACAATCAACACCGATCTCGAAATTTATGCTGCAAAGCATGCAAGACTTCATGCTGTACTCCGTCTCTCCAAACATACTGCGAACATTATGATTACAAACAGTCATACTTTAAGCTTCTATTTTAACCCACATCTTAAATCTCTTATCCAAATCCGGGCATGTAGACTAAGCGGAGTGCAGGGATTATCGTAGTGCTACGACAGGAACACCGTCCCAAGGAGAACTGGACCACTTTAATGAGTGTAATGGAATCCTATCTAAGTGTAAATTGTGCATAGCACATGCTTGATGTCCCTGTACTTACCCAAAGGGTAAGTGCCGTATATGAAAACATTAACATTGATGACGAAAAGCTATATTAGTTTGGTCAAGAAAATAAGGTGTTAATGAAGAACGTACCTAGACCAGCTCAGGCTATGTTTTACAGCCAGGATCGCGGCTGCATTAATAGCCCAGAAAGCGAAAATTGGATCCCGACTTATGCCTTACAGCGGCACCTAGAGTTCGTGGGTGAAATGGCGCGGTCCTCTGAGACCCGGTGAAACCTGCGCAGATGGCGGCTGACGGCGCAGGCATCCCTTACAGAATCGCTCCATGTCTGTTGCGGAGTAAGACCCTTAATTTGCTATTACCGTGACGGGGATGCGTTGGTCCATACTTTGGTTCTTGATGTGCCCGCCGTAGATGTTTTAATAATCATCATATCCTGGAAAACTCACATGACCCTGACATTAAGCATCTTTTTGAAATTACAAAAATGAACTAAAAAGTGTATCATACCCTTATTTTCATGTATTTATTCACCTCCAACTCAGGTGTTTCTGAATCATTGTTTAAGTTTTTTTTTGGATATTTTTTCCTTAACTAAGTGACCAGCAGGTTCGTTTCTGGCCAAATTTTCCTAGTTCATCTAAGCATACGGCTGGTGTCAAGCTAAAGGAGCGGGTGTATTAAATAGGCCTATATTCAGATGCCGTGATACACGAATACGAATTTTTAAACAATAATAGATAAACATTTTTACTAGTTTAGGGAAGAGTCCTCATGTGCTATACGTGTATGTTTAGAATATTACATAATATTTCCACTAGATGGCAGTAAAGTCCACATTTGAACCTCGTTGGAAAAAAAATGAAATATTGCTCTGTTTGCATCATATATCTTACGTATTACGTAACAAGATTTAATGGTGTTAATAAAAAGATTAAACGACCGTAAAATCTAGAATAAGAATCGCAGTTACGTTTTGTATGGAAAGTTAAATCACCGTCTTGAATCCATACACTGGTTTTATAAATCATCAAAAAAAAAATCGACATTGACAATGTATAAGCATATGCAAATGGGGCAGTGGTGGCCTAATGCTTAGGGACGTTCACTTGTAATCAAATGATTGCTGATTTGAATCCCTTACCAGCAAAGTACCCCTGAGGTACCCCGAGGAAGGTACTGACCTCGAGGACTTTGACATCAAAATAGCAATGCTCCTATTGTTTTAATATGAATGTGTTAAAAGGTTTCTTATTTTTAACTTGACAACTTTTTCTATGTTATAAATGTACATATTATAAATGTATACCCCCTGTTCCCTGGAATTTCAGTATTCCCATGGGGGGGGGGGGAGCACGGAATATAATGAGCATCTAGAGAAAGACTGGAACTACGGTGGAAGTGAAAGCCGACGGCCCCGTTTCTTGGGGTCTCATGTGAGATTGCACGGTTTTAAATGACGGGGGCAGTAATCACATTGCTATTGGCACAAATCCAATGTGATTTTTTTCATACATTTCAGGATGCTGTGTTTAAACGGTCAAGGGAGAGCAGCATTGCACCTGGCCCATATGAAGTATAGACAGGTATTGCCCGGGGTGGGTCTGCTCTCTGTCTCCCCCCCAGCTCTTGTGGTTAGCAGGGGAAGTGCATCTTCTTGCTGTCAGGTTCCCGCCCACCAGCTGGCTGAGCCTTTAGAACATTTGGGTTTCCCATACCGGGCCGCAGTACTGGTGACACCATTGACATCACCTTTGTGGGTACCAGTGGGCATCCTGAGAGGCGATAATGACTGAGGTGTCAGCTGGCTGTTTCAGCCAAGAAGCCAGACATATCCATGACTTAGGGTGTGTAGATATGCAACTGTATCTACCAAATTCGACTGTTACACCCTCTGGCCCGATGACAAACAGCAGGGAGCATGTGATCGACTTGGAAACCACCGACGTCTTTGGAGAATGCATTCGCCGGAGTCCCCTCTTTTTAGAACGAACAGCAGCATGCCACTGGGGCTCTGCAGGTTTGTGTGTTAGACGTTACGAGCATCCTCTGTGGTTCCGTGCGTGTCTCACTGTCCTCTGTGGTTCCGTGCGTGTCTCACTGCAACGCTGTGTGTGTGAGTGTGCTATTGTGTGCACGTCCCCGTGTGTGTCAGACAATGAGAGCGCCGAGGAATGGAGGTTGGTGGTATGGGTGGGATGCACTGGGTGCCAGTTGTCTGGGTTACAGTTTCCACTGATCCCTGCACCTCGAACCACAGGTGCAGTTTTCCAGCCACGTTTATCCCCCAACCCCCCTTGCAGGGGTGAACGACAACACACCGTCCTACAGACAGACTCATCTGCGCTTCCCAGTTCCACCCCAGCATTGCCAGAAGCTTCTTTGGTGGTCATGTTTATTTATGCAGGCAGGTGAGGAGGTATCTTGAAAATCTTCTGAAATCTGAACATTTTCAAAATATGGTGTTAGGATGCAGGTAAGGAGACCTTGTTATGTTCCATTCATTTACCATCAGGCCTGTGGACCGTTTTATTTCACCTTACAAACCATAAACTACAGCCGCCAAATGAATATTTAGAACCTGTATTTTTTTCTTACTTTCTGGGTTGAATGGCAGGCACTGTTACACTGCCACACCCATCTCTCCGCCTTAGTTGCCCCTTGCCCCGCCCACATATATATTTCCCAGCCTACTGCAATGGACTCCCACTTCCCTCTAGCCCCCTCTTCCACCTTTATGTTCCATCCAGCCAACCAATCAGGGGGTCACCAGGCAGTTCATGCCTTATATGGAGAATCTGGGCTACAGCAGGGAGAGCTCACAGCAGCCATGCTAAAGGGCTGCCTGGCTTTTGTTGACATATGGCACTGCGCGTCTCCTGACTCCTGGGGTAGCATTGTCTCAGTTATTATTACACCCTTTGGGAACAGGAGCAACCCAGAGAAGCGACAGGCCTCCTTTAAATACAGAAGGAGCACCTCCCAAAATGCTGGGCGTGCTCGTTATTATGTACAAAAGCTGGCGAAACACTCTCTCTCTCTCACACACACTCTCACACACACACACACTCTCTCTCTCACACACACACTCTCTCTCACACACACACGCACTCTCACACACACATACATTCTCTCTCTCACACACACACACTCTCTCTCACACACACACACTCTCTCTCTCGCACACACTCACACACACACACACTCTCTCTCACACACACACACACACACACGTACAAAGCAATCAGCAGCTGATACGTGGTTCTCAGCCAGCCTCTTGGTGCGGAATGAACACGGCGGGATTAATCACTGCTGCAGAGGCGCCACTGAAACGAAGAGCAGCACAGAAGCAGCGCTTCAGCAAACGGACACGCGGCAGAGCGGCGCTGGTATGGAGGCGGGTATCGCAAGTCCAAGTGAACACAGTTAGTCCATGCGCAGGGTGTGCGCAGCTGAGGGGTGGGTTCACTGGGGGGGGGG